CGCCGAACTCAGTCACGCAGATTCTTCTGCGATCCAGTCGACGCCATTGATCCCGACGTCAGCGGGATGCAAGCCTTGTACACCTGCCACGAGTAGTCATTCTTCAAGAAACGCACTCCCAGCCAGTACCAGCGAAGCGTGCACGTGCCCTTGCACGATGAGTAGTCCACCGTGTAGTCCTTGCCCGGGAACTTCTCGTGGCAGTTGTCGCCATCCAGCACCATCGTGTCGTCGAGCCACACCTCGCACGGGCCGTCGTGGGTGTAGCCGGTAGAGCGCATCTTGTTACCTTCCGGAATGGGCTGAGGGGTGCCCTTGGGGTCGGTGAAGCCACAGGAGAAGTCGGCGCCGCTGGTGACGTCGTACTTGGCCCTGTCCATGAAATCACGCAGCGACTTGTAGCCGTTCTCCTTGCGCCAGGCGGTGAAGTCCTCCTGGGTCGTAAATCCCTCATTCTCGAGGAAAGCCAGCGGGTTGTACTTGGTTTCCTTGTCGTTAGTCGTCCACAGGGGCTCCGGCAGCAGCACGATCTGGTGAGTAGTAATATCCGGAACATTACGCCGCCAGTTTTTTTCCTTACCGTAATTTACCACCAAGAACATTCCTGGAACCTTCTTTCAGACCAGCTGCCATTTCGACGACGCAACCTCGACGTCTTTTCGATCTTAGGGTGGTTTCAGATCAGCTCGACCACTGAGATCTAACAACAGTTGGTTTCGTCTGAATTTCAGAATTAATTTATTTTTCTCAAAAAAAAGTTAACACCCTATGTATATAGATACACATAGCTGATAACATGTCGAACGAACTAACTTTTGGAAAATACAAGGGCATGCCGATCGAAGAAGTATTCACTTCCGATCCTGGTTATTGTCGCTGGATGCACAACCAACCAAGTCTCAATATTACTGAGGATATCAAGATTTTCCTTCACTCCAAGTTTCTTAGCAATGATAATTCGTATATGATGAGTTGGGGCAAGTACAAGGGGAAGACGCTGAAGCAGATTAGTCGCATCGACTCTAATTATATCGATTGGCTCCGTAAGAATCCATTCGTAATTGAGAAATGCTCTAAGCTTGTCGAAGCTTTACAGATTAAGTAAAAGAATATTTTTTAATCAGAAGCACATCTCAAATGGTTAGCTGATCACCATTAGGATACTCAGTTTTTTTTCTTACGCTGTAGAGTA